TTCAATCTCACTTTTATGTGGAATATAAAAAATAATTAAATCAATTAAAAAAACCACAACAGCCCTAGCCTGTCAGCCTGCAGACTGAAGGGTCCCGGGTTCGATTCCGGTCAAGGGCACATGCCCGGTTTGCGGGCTCGATCCCCAGTGCGGGGCATGCAGGAGGCAGCCAATGATTCTCATCATTGATGTTTCTCTCTCTCTGAAATCAATAAAAATATATTAAAAAACACACACACACAATAGAAACAGAAATACAGGTAATAGAGACCAAGCTGATGGTTGCCAAAGGGGAAAGGTTGGGGGAGGGGAACTTTTTCTAAGACCCCAATTCATGAATTGCTTAATAAAGCCCATTAGAGCTTCAGATTTAGTCAGCTGAATTTTTGGTGTTTTTTATTTTTGTTTTTTTAACACTGGGTACATTGTGAAGCTGCAAGGTGACATTTGTGGAGGCTGTGAGGTAACACGGACTCATGTTTACAGTAAAAAGTGAAGGTTAAAAAGCAGGACGCTCAGTTGTTCACTATGTCAATAGTGTTTTGCATATTGATAAAGACTAAAAGGGAAGGCTGGAAAATGAAACCGATGAATTAAGGTTATTTTCTTAAGATTTTTTCCCCTTAAAACTATGTCAAATTATAAAATGGTTGCCTTTAGAAGACAAGGTTATTGGTCACGCTTCCCCCTTGCTTCTTCCCAAATATTCTACATTGAGTAGATACTATCTGGATAATCAGAGAAAAGGAAACGACAACACCCCCCTCTCCCCATCCCCACCCCCTCGCCATGCTCACCTGCCGCACACCCACAAAGAAGTTGTTGCCACAGCATTCATGGAGTAGGGACTGTCCCCCCTTCCCCCAAGGATGCCATGTGGCTCTTCCCTGCATTCATGGAGTAGGGACTGTCCCCTTTTCCCCCCCAGGCTGCCTGTGTGGCTCTTCCCTTTTCTCCCCACCTGGTTGCACCCTCATTGCCCTCCTTAGAGGTCCTTCCACTACAAAGCCAGAACGTAAATGAATACACTTGGAAAATGCAAGGAAGCGCTGTCAGATCTCAGCCTCCTGCTGTTGTCAGCCGGGGCTCCGGCAGCTGAGACGCGGAGAGGGGCGGGAGAGCCATGGGGGAGTTTTCCTGAGCTCTGCAGGGCAGGAACAGAACATATGTCCTCTCCGGAGCCGGATTATTCCGTGCTTGTTCCTGCTGTTATGACTTCAAAATGTTCAGGGGCAGAAGTGCCTGCCAGTTCCTCTAATAAGGAAGCCCTTGTCTTTCCCCATGAGGACCCCCAGCACTCTCTCTGTCCCCCTCTTTCTGCTCCCGCGGGATTCTCTCCACAGTGCAGAGAAAGAAGGTAGGTTTGAAGGTGGGGGAAGAGGGACTGCAGCCTCCACAGATGCTGGCAGGAAAGGAGCTTTCTTGTCTCTGCTAGACTATGGCAGAGATCCAGGTTGGGGAGTGGTGGAGCTGAGGGTATTGGTTAAACCTTGTATTACATGTGGGTTTAATCTCAATATCCAGGGATGCAAAAACTGCAGTCTCTGCAAACCTACTTATCTACTAATAAGAGGAGACTGCAGAAAGCAAGGGGAGCTGGGGGCTGGGGGTCCCCATGGAAGAAAGGTGTGTTTCGGGGAATGAGATGGCATGGAAAGAACATCGGGGTGAGGGAGACCAGGGTTCAAATCCCAGCTCTGTTCTCTCCTTGCTGGGCAACTTGGGCGAGTCACTGCCCTCTCTGAGCCTCAGCTTCCGCTCTGTAACTCAAGGATCCCTGTCCCTTTCTAGGGCCGAGTGGCTGAGGCTGTTTCCTGGCCTATAAAATCAGAATCTTGATATCTACCCCTTATCGAAGGACAGGTCAGTCCAGCCTTCTAATCCCAACTAACAAATCCTACCCATCTGGTGCCAAATACCTCTCCAGTTTCCTCTCAGCACTCTCCCCTCTCACGTGATGCTCCTACCCACCCAGCCCACCTCCACGCCTTTCCTCATTCTGTTTCCTCTGCCTGGATTTCCCTTCCTTTTGGGGATTAACAACTAGTCTTCTAATACTCAGCTCACCTCCTCCAGGAAGCTTTCTTAGATTCCCCACCTCCGGCTGGGTGAGGTGCCACTGCCCTGGGCTCCTGTAATATTCACGGGCATATACCACTGTTGCCCTCACAGTGATTACAGCTGAGGTTTATTGAGCTTTCTAAGTGCCTCGCCCTCTACCAGACCCTTTACCCAGCATCATCTAGTTAAATCCTAACCATACCTATGGGAGGGAAGTGTCTTTGTTCTCATTTTGCTGATCAGAACACTGAAGGGTAAGTGTCCAGGTTGGGATGTGAACCAGGGCGGTATCATGCCAAAGCCCATTAGTAGTTTTTGCTACACACTCTGTCTGCCCATGTCACACCTTGAACGCAGGTAGTTTTCTGTTTTGAGATATGTTCTATCCTTCCTCTCACCTGTGGATACCACTAGTGCAGTGCTGAGATAGGTGCCTCCGCCCCACTCTGCCAATCGGAGTCCCAGGAAGGGCTGAGTCCGAAACTCACATTTTCAGGGCCCTTGCAGTTGGGGCTTCCCTCTTGCCCTTCAGCCTTGCTCACCCCGCCTTGATGCCAGGGCCCCTCCCTGGACTCAGCCCCATGTCCCCAGCCACCTGATGTTACATCCACACCTGCCTCAGGTCAGGTTTAATCCAGGAGGAGGGACCTCCACCGAGAGGTAATGGTCACGTGTACTAATGTGTCCCACCTGGCTTCAGCTCACTGCATGCTCATAGTAACCTAAGAGGAAGTGAGGGGTATGGTTTTCATTTTACAGATGAGGGAAACTGAGGCTCTGCTGACATCAGAGCAAGTGGAGGTGACCAGATGTGACCCCACGGTTGTCTGACCGCCAAGCTCTCTGGCTTGCCCAGTGCCCCCCTCCTGTTCCTGGAAGGGCCTTGTACGTGCAGATCCTCAGAGGATGAGAACTATGATTCAACTCTGCATCCGTCTCGGGTCAGCGTGACACCCAGACACCAGGACGGTTGTGAAGTGTGGGCTGGGAGGGGCAGGCTCACAGTGAGCCCAATAACTTTACTGGCAGAGGTCAAAAGGGCAGAGATTGCCATCCCCACCTTAAAGATGAGGAAGTTGCAAAAAGAGAGGAGTAGGAAGGTTGCCCAAGGTTGCCCCTGAGTCAGAGGAAGAGCAGGGATTAAACCCACAACCTTGGTGTGAGGCTCTAACCAACTGAGCTACCCAGCCAGGGTAGTGATGCCCATCTTTTACCTCCTCCCCTGCCCAAGCTTTTTTTTTTTTAATCCTCATCCAAGATATCCTAAGAGAAAAAGGGGTGGGGGAGAGGGAGAGAGGGAGAGAGGAAGAGAGGGAGAGAGGGAGGGAGGGAGGGAGAAAGAGAGAGGGAGAGAGAGAGAGAGAAAGATCGATCGGCTGCCTTCTGAACATTCTCCAACCTGGGATCAAAAATCGCAACCCAGGCCCTAACCAGTTTGGCTCAGTGGATAGAGCACCGGCCTGTTGACTGAAGGGTCCCAGGTTCGATTCTGGTCAAGGGCATGTACCTTGGTTACCAGCACATCCCCAATAGAGGGTGTGCAGGAGGCAGCTGATCGGTGTTTCTCTCTCATCGATGTTTCTAACTCTCTATCCCTCTCCCTTCCTCTCTGTAAAAAAATCAATAAAATATATTTAAAAAAAAAAAATCGCAACCCAGGTATGTGCCCTGACCAGGAATCAAACCTGCAACCTTTTGGTGCACAGGATGATGCTCAACCAACTGAGCCACTCCAGCCGGGCTCTCCTTCCCCATCTTGCTGGCCCCAAAACACAATAGGGGTGCACCGACCTGAGAAGAGCATAATTACCTAGGGAGCAGCTCCCCCTCCCACACTCCTCTCCCCTGGGGGCTCCAATGCAATGGGTTTTGAAGTGAATTGAGAATTGCTGATCAACAGCCCCTTAACCCCACAAATGTTTCCAAGTCTCTCTCCTGCCAGGTGGGGCTGGCCTGGGGTCACTGGACTCTCTGAGGTAGACCTCATTCCCAGGAATAGGCTTCTCCCGCCCTGCCCTGCCCGTCCACAGTCCTGAAGGATTTATAGCCCTGTGAACAACCATCCACTTCCCCAAAAAAGGCCATTGGGGAAATCCCTCCCAGGGCCAGACTGGCGATTCAAGTCTAAAGCAGTGAGGACAATAGTCCCCCCACCCCCACCCCCAGCCTGGAGCCTGACGGGGGGCCCTCTGCCTCCGTAAGATCAAAGGTGCTCCTGGGGCTGAGTGATCCTGGGCCAGGAGAGGGGGGCGGGGGGAAGCTCTACCCAAGGAGGAAGCCCCTTTACCCAGGTATTCTTGGGGAGGCAATCCCTTTTCAGAGGTCCCGAGCCTAGGTTCAAAGGCTGGTGGGGGCTGAGCAGTTGACAACAGCAGGGAAAGGGCCTAGATCAGAAAATGGGGGCTTCCTGTTGATGGAGGGGGGCCCCGGCCCACTGCCTGGCTCCCCATCCCTCTTCCTCACCCAAGTCTGAGATTCCCAAACTGCCACGGAGGCCCGCACCCCATGCGCAGTGAGGGGAGGAGAGAGGAGAGCCGTCAGAGCCGCGAAGGAGACCAGAGGCGTTGCCGCGGGGACGCACAGCTCCGCACCCTCCCGAGACGAGAGGGAGTAGTGGAGCTGAGGCTATTGGTTAAACCTTGTATTACATGCCCCATCGCCCCAAAGGCTAGGCTTCCCTCAAGGGAGCTCGTCTCTCCCTAAATTCGTTGGGAGATCCTGGCGCAAGAGAGAACTAGGGCTCCATTCAGACACCATCTCTTCTTTCCCTCTCATCTCAGGGGTGGCGGGTGGCTCCACAGGACCCGGGCCGCCCGCCCTGACCCCGCAGGTTGCGCTCTCATGGAGCTCCTTTGCAATTCATTTCTCAATTCCCCCCCCCCCCCCCACACACACACACCCCGCCCTCCTCCTGCTCTGGGCATCACATGGACACTCACGGTAACTTAGGGGCCTCTTCACTCTGTTGAAAGAAGGGTCTTTGTTCTGCTTGGAAATTAAGTTCTTAGGGAGCAGCCTGGGAGGAAAGAGAAAACGAAATGGGACAGAGGATCAGCGGCCACTGCCTGGGAAAGAGACGCAACCCTCCGAGTGGGGACGCCGGAGTCAGCGCACACCAACGCGCATCCTCAACTCTGTCCTCCCTCCCAGGCTACCTCCGCGGCCCGCCCCAACCCTAGGCGTCCCGAGGCCCCCCGAGGTCCCCGAGGCCCCCAGAGACACCCCGAGGCCTCCGAAGCCCCCAGAGACATCCGAGGCCTCTGAAGCCCCCAGAGACACCCCGAGGTCCACACGGGCTTCTCCAGAGGCGAGAGCGCTGCTCCCGGGCCGCGCCAAAATGGTCCAAGTCAGGAATCCGGGCACCTTGCGTGGCTCAAGCACCTTGCGATGCTGCTACCCTGATCCCAAACCAGGGACGGTGTGGAACGGGGTGGGGTGGGGGGGTAGGGGGCTGGGGGGTATTCCTCTGAGAGGAGAGGACGCAGAATCGGTGGGGGTGCCTCTTGCGTACAGCGGGGTGGGGGTGGGGGGTGGGTGGTTTCAGGACACGGGGAGGTGAGGCCCCGCCAGGGGGAGGAGCCGCTACCCGCGTCCCGTGGATCGGGGCTCCCTCCCGTCGCGGCTCCGCTATAAAACCCCGGCCCTTATGGCCGCAGCACCCACGGCGGCCTCCTCGGCGTGCGACCCCCGGCTCGGCGGCGTCTTTGCTCCCGCGCAGGATGCGGCTGCTGCTGGCGCTCCTGGCCCTCGCCGCCTCCCGGCCCTTGGCCCGCGCAGGTGAACGCCTGGGCTCCGGCCCCTGCCCCTCGGGTGGCCCGCCCGCGCCCCCAGCCCCGCGCCCCCGCCCAGGCCGCGCCCGCGGCCACCGGTGCGCGCCGGTTGCGCGTCCGTCCCGGGCGGCGCGTGCGCCGGGAACGGCGACTGCGGGCGGACGGGGCGTGAGCGAGCTCGTGGGCGCACACGAACGGCCACGTGCTGTGCGGGGGAAGCGTGTGCCCGCGGGTGCGCGGCGGCCCCGGGCGAGAGGAGCGCGCGGGGCTGTGGGGAGGATGCTTCTCCCGCCGCCTTGACGCGCGCCGCTGCTTCTCGCCCTTTCCGGCGTCGCAGGCGGCTCCTGGTGACCCGTTTGTCGCTGTGCGCCCCGCGGGGCTGGGGGCTGGGGGGCTGACCCTTCCTCTCCGCCCGGAGCTACGGCAACACATTGGTGTGGCGGGGCCTTGGCACCCCCGCCCCCGACCCTGAGTTCCTCGTCCCCGGGGGCTGCCCCCTTCCCGCGCCTCCCCGCCTCCCCGCGCTTTTGTCCGGAGCCCGGCTGGGGACACCCGGAGACCCGAGGTCCCCGGTTGAGCCGGTCTTTCCGGCCGGGGTGATTTTCGTTTAAAGATTAATGGTGAGGCCAAGCTCTTAATTATTCTCCTAGTTGGGAGGCGGCAGGAGAAATGTGTTAATATTTGATAAGGAACTGAAGGCGCTTCCAGCGGCGGGGCGCAGGGACCGGGAAGCACCTTTTCTACGCCTCCCGGGGCCCACCCCCTTCCCGAAGCCCCCATTGCGCTTCCCCGGCCCAGCTCCCCCTAAAGTTAACCATGGTCCTGGGTGCCCATCCGACCAAACCTCCTCTCCAAAGACCAAACCTCTCCAAAGACCAAACCTCCTCTCCAAAAACCAAACCGCCTCTCCAAAGACCAAACCTCTCCAAAGACCAAACCTCCTCTCCAAAAACCAAACCGCCTCTCCAAAGACCAAACCGCCTCTCCAAAGCCAGGTGCCCCTCCCGTGGAGCGCGGAGTGGGGGGCGAGGGAGCCTCTGCACAGGGGGAGCGGGTGCGGGATGGGCGCAGGACAGCCTGGCCGCCTGGGGGAGGAGGGCCGGGTTGAGGGGCATCTTGCAGGGACTCTCAGGAGAGGAGGAAAGAGAAAAAAGGCAGTGAAAGGGTTCAGAACAGGACTCCCCGCGATGTGCCACTTGGGCCTGTGACTTATCTTGAGCTGAAGGCAATCTAGAAACTGTTACCACTCCCTGGAAGACTTTAAATTGGGGCCTTGCCAATCAGAAGAGTCATTACCAGAACTGACCTTTTATGACTTAGCTATGAGGCAGGGCAGACTTCTAACTACTGAGCATCTGCTCTTATGTTTTGGGTGTGAACTGCCTCCCCTCGGAAGCCCCAAGGCACCTTTCCTCATCCTTAGCCCAGAATGCCATATGGACCTCATTTTCCCTTTCTCGGAACCGCTCATGCATGTGGGGTTCCCACACATACATACGAACGAGATTAAACTTGGTCATTTTCCCTTGTTAATCTGTCTCAAGTCTATCTGGTGATCCCACAGCCGAAAGACCCCAGGAGGGTAGGGGTAAGTGTGTTCCTCCCTTTCACAGGAGGACGTGAACATTTCTATTTATTTTATTTTTTTAATTTCTTTTTATTGATTTTAGAGATGAAGGGAAGGGGAGAGTTAGAAACATCAATGAAGAGAGAGAATCATTGATTGGCTGCCTCCTGCACATCCCACACTAGGGATGGAGCCCACAACCCAGGTATGTGCCCTTGACTGGAATCGAACTTGGGACCCTGCAGTCCGCAGGCCGACGCTCTGTCCGCTGAGCCAAACCAGCCAGGGCTGAACATTATTATTTAGAGTTGGACCTTTGAAACCTACTTAAGCAGACAGGCTCAGTAGAAAGAAAGGTTTTGCAATTAATTCGGGTGTTCTGTGGCTATGTGGCCTCGGGTAAGTCACTCTCCGTTTTCTCATTTACAAAGCAGGATAGTAATTAACTTCACGTGTGGTTTTAAGGGTCCCCATAAGCCAGTGGGTGTATGTGCTCAGTGTGGTGCATGATGGCTAGGATGGCTCTACCACTGGCCTGTGCCAGCCAACCAGGGCCTCATCTCAGCTGCCCCCTCACACAACCGGTGCTCCTTTTAAGGCCTGGGCCCTGTGTTCCTGCACCCATTTCATCCCTTAGGGAACTTGAGGCCAGAGAAAGACCTGGCTGCACACTGAGTCCCCAGAGCATCTGCTGCCGTGAGAGGAGGGGAGAGAATAGGGGGCCCCTCAGTCTCAGCCTCCAGGCCAGGACTTGTGGAGACTTTGCCCAGGACACATTTGGGTTTCGCTGAGCTGGTTTTCAGGATCCCTTCCTCCCCCCAGAGTGGGAGGGTGGGGTGTCCAAGGTCCATCGGAGGGAGGTTCTTCAGTTGTCTCTACAGAAGGAGGGTCAGGGGTGGAACGTCAAGGCTCGGGGACAGTGGCTGGGTGATTGGCATGGTGGTTAGTCTCTCACTCTGCTTCTGGTTAGGGCAGGTAGGCTAGGGGGAACCTGGAGCTTGGAGCCAAGACCTAGGTGTGGGTAGCCCCCCTCCTTCCCGGGCCCTCTTGGCGGGGGGCGGGGGGGCCGAGACAGGCGGGTATCCCTCAGCAAAGGCAGCCCTCTCATGAACGGTGAACAAATACAGGAACCTGAGCGGGTGTGCGACCTGCCACCTCTTGCCTAAAAGCCAGCTCTCTACCCTCGGCCCACAGACAGACCTGACCCCTGGCCTTGGCCCCATCAACATTGTGTTTTCCTGGCTCCAGCCTCCTGAAGAGGGTAGTTACAAGAGCATTCATCCAAGCAGGTCAAAAGTTTCTATGATTAAGACAGTGGATCAGAGGTTACCATTACAAACGCAGGAGCCGTAGCTGGCAGGAAAGAGCAAATTCCTAAGAAAGCTTAGCCTGAACCAAAGAGGCCCTGGGGAGGCTCAGAGGGGGTTCCGCCCTTCACAGCTGTCTTCCAGGACTCTGGTCTAAGGAAGACTTCCCTTGGAGTGGCTTTCCCATGAGCCTCCAGTCCAACTTGACCTTGGAGGCCCCTTCTGCCTCCGGGACCTCTGAGAGGTGAAGACACAGGAGGATTGTAACAAGGAGCTCTTCACCAGGGCAGGTGGCCTCCCACTCATCCTCTCCTGGGACACTCACTCCTGCCTGAGGAAGAACGTAGGGCTCAGAAGTCCGTGAACTCGCCCGCAGAGAGAGATTAAGCCAGAGGCAGCCAGGGGTCCGCTCCAGCGTCAGAGCTCTGCCACCCACAGAGGGGCCTGCATGGGGAGTGGCCGCTCGCCCTTGCAGAGTTGACCCATATGGGGGTTCCAGAGGCAGCAACTCCAGGGGCAGCAGAGCCCTGTCCAGGGAAAGATGCTCAGGGACTGTCCCTCTCTGGAAGCGGCTGTCCCAGCAGGGGGCCTGGCCCCCTCCAAGAGGGCCTGGGAAGGAGGCGGGCTGATCCAGAGCTGGGGGACTTGAACACCCAAAGTGGTTCTGAGGGTCCTGGAGCAAGAGGGTGTCCAGCTTTCTGTGAGTGCTCACTCCTGGCCTCAAACTCTTCCTCCCACTCCCTAGCGAGACCCCGACCTCCTCCTGGCTCTCTCCCCAACCTGTTTCCATTCCAGGGACCCCAGAGAAGGTGGGTTTGGATGGGGGGCGGCCCAGGCAAGAAGGTGGGGGGAATGGAGGGATGTTCAGAGGACTGAGCTCAGGCTGAGTGGGAAGCCGTGCTTTTCTTAGGAATTTCCTCATCCTTGAATTCTTTCCAACTTGGCTTTTGCCATCTGTGCACTTATAAGAGGCCAGAGGGAGGGAGGCAAGGGAAGGGAAGGGCTCAACAGGGACTTGGCTGAGTTCCAGGCTACCTGCAACACGCCTGCCATCTCATTTAGTCCTCCTCCCAGCCCAGTGAGGTGGGTGGTGGTGTTCCACTTAACAGATGATAAAACTGAGGCTTAGAGAGATTAAGTGACTTGCTCCTAAACCCACAGCTCCTCAGCCAGAATTCCAGCTCCAGCTCCAGATCAAATGCTTTGTCCACCCTGCTGGTCCAGCCTTTAAAAAAATATATATCGATAGACTTTAATTAGAGCAGGTTTAGGGTTACAGAAAACTGAGCAGAAAGCAGAGGGCTCCCGTGTGCTCCCTCTGCCCCTGCACAGTCTCCCCTCTTGTCAACATCTTGCATTTGTGTGGCATGTTTGTGGTGCAGCCTTTCTGCAGAGATGCTGGTTCTACCAGCCTGAGGCAGAGCCGGGATGAGAACCTGAGTCTGTCTGGTCCCAAAACTCAGGAGTGTGGGGTGGTGGGACAGGGGTACAGGCTTGGCTGTCTTCCTTGCTGTGGGGCTGTGAAAGTTTAGCCAAGAATGGGTCTTACTAACAGAAGAGGGAGGGGCCAGCCTAATCTCCTGGAGGCATCGCCTCCACATTGGTCAACTCTGGGAAGGCAGCCAGAACCTGACTCTGTTGTCCTAATCCCCCTCCTCCCCTCTCACCTCCCTTCCAGGTTTGGGTTGGAGGAGGGAGGGGGAGGCTGATGAGAAACCTGGGGGCCTTGGAGCCCTGCCTGCCTGAGAAAGGGGAACCCCAGAACCCGTGTCTTGGGGACGGATGACCAGCAGATTAGTCACGTTCTTGCACTGCCTCTTGCCCCAGGCCCACCCACAGTTTCTTCCGAAGTGTCCTCTTCTAGGAACCCGCCACCCCAACCCCAGGGGGGCTTTGACTCCAGGGAGATTTGCAGCCTCTGACCCACTGTGCGTGCACACGCGCGCGCGCACACACGCGCGCGCACACACACACACACACACACCTGGTGTGGCTTGTGTGCACACAGTTCACGTGCGCTCCTAGGGGCCTATGGCTGCACAGGTGCACAGACACACGCTCACAGGCCTCACTCCTGCCTCTCTCTGCTCCAGAGTCACACTGGTGCTACGCGGTTCAAGCCAAGGACTCC